AATAATAATTAATAATAAGAATGTAAGTAAAAATAGCAAATAAACCACAGTCATTTTCAGCAGGTAAAGTTAAATTCTATTGTTTGTTGAAAGATGAGGCTGAAGTCTTGGAACTTAAAATTTAGCAAAGAAGCTGGAGCTTCTTGGAAGGGTATTCCACGTGTTAAGCACTGTCCCTACCCTAAGTACCTCCTCAGTAATGACTGAGGCATCAGGAGAAGGGACTGTAATGGGCAGGCCTCTGTTAGGCAAGGTGATGTGTAAGTAAACTGCAAGGACCCATTTTTGTCTGTTTAATTCAGCTCTTGAGTGCATGTTACTGACAGCAGAGATTCGGCATGCCTCACAATGACACTATACAGTAGAAGAGGCACCTTTGAAGCTGTTTGCTTGTTTTCAACATGAAACCTTTTTCCTTGATGCCTTTTGATTTGATTTCAGGAGCAGGACACCTCCCTTTACCGGCCTGCTCTGGAGGAGCTGCGGAGACAGATCCGGTCCTCCACAACGTCCATGACCTCTGTGCCCAAACCTCTGAAGTTCCTACGCCCGCATTATGGCAAGTTGAAGGAGATCTATGAGAACATGGCTCCAGGGGAAAACAAGGTACGTCACTTGATTTGGCCTGACAGTGCAGGAGATGCTTTGTTAGCCTGCCTTTCACCTCTCCTAAATGGATTACAGGTGGGATAATACCTGTGGGTGAGAGAAATGAGTATTTTCCCCAAGTAGGGATTGCAAACTCCTTACCCAATAGAAAGGCTTAGCGTTACTGTGTGTCTCGTTGATCTTTAGAAATACGTGAAAAATCTTTGCCAGGAAGTTGTGTGTTTTTCCTTTAGCTTGGAAGGTGCAGCAAGGTGCAGCCCTAGAGATGTTGGCCTGCCAGCACTAAGAGTTGTGTGTTTTTCCTTTAGCTTGGAAGGAGCAAGGTGCAGCCCTAGAGATGTTGGCTTGCCAGCACTAAACATTCCTCACGATTGGTGCTGCTGCTTGGTGGAGTTACCATAGCAATAGTGAAATTTATTTACCTGGTTCTTTTAAAAAAATTAGCCTGCCCATCTAGTGGTTAGGCCACTACTCTGGGCAGCTTACAATAGCACGATGTAAACATATAATAAAACTACAGTAATCCTGTTGGTGGTTTACTTACATGCAAGAGGAATAACACCCATTGCTGTAGCTAATTGAGGAGGTGCCTGCTCTGCATTCCGTCAGGTAGTTGCAACTTCTGTACAACTTCCTGCATGTGCATCAAATCCTGGCTTTACTTTGGCCACTGTGTAGTTTGGGACTTTAGTTCTCATCTGGGGCAGACACTGTGTGTGCAGGCAAGTTTTGGACTGCAGAGTTTGTGAAGCTGGGTTCTTTCCTAGCTGTTAGCAGGCATGTGGATAGGAAAATAAGATAACGTACATCCCTAACACCCACTTTCTGCTTACAGCGTTTTGCAGCCGACATCATCTCTGTGCTGGCCATGACAATGAGCGGAGAGCGAGAGTGTCTGAAATATCGGCTGGTGGGATCCCAGGAGCCTTTGGCTTCCTGGGGACATGAATATGTCAGGTAAGCAGCAGCAAATGAAGAAATTAGACCGTTGAAATTCCAAGGTGCATTTATTTTGGTATTAGCTGTTTATCAATGTGCCTCCCACCTTTCTTCTTTGGAGTGCAGGATGGCACAGGCAGAGCCTCCGGGGACTCCCCTGTCCAGGCACTGAGCACTTCTGTGTCTCCTTAGCTTCAGCAAAGCTCCTTTGCTTCCATACCTTTGCACTGTTTGTGATCGCAATGGCCCACTGTTTTCCATTGCTTGTAACCGATGCTTTTCTCATTCTAGAATTCTTGCTGCTGTTTTTTCAGCAGATAATTCGGCTTTCTGATTACCTTGATAGGGAGGCATATCTGTAATTTCAGCCCCAGAAAGGGTTTTGCTGCATTCAGTTTGATGTATTGATTTTCTCCTTGAAAGCACTGTGTTTCCTGAGAAATGGAAGATCAAAGCTGATTCATGCTGGGTCCTTACTGTTATCTGTTTTGTTCATCTCACATTCCTCCTATACAATATTTTTCTACACCGTGTAAAATAGCAAGGAGAGGCAAGAGGGCCTTCTTAAATGAACAGTACAAAGATATAGAGGAAAATAATAGAAAGGGGAAAAAACCAGAGATCTATTCAAGAAAATTGGAGATATTAAAGGAACTTTTTGTGCAAAGCTGGACATGATGAAGGAAAAAAATGGTAGGGACCTCACAGAAGCAGAAGACATCAAGAAGAGGTGGCAAGAATACACAGAGGAATTATACCAGGAAGATCTGGATGTCCTGGACAAGCCAGATAGTGTGGTTGCTGACCTGGAGCCAGACATCATTGGGCCTGACAACAAGGCCAGTGGAGGTGATGGCATTCCAGTTGAACTATTTAAAATCTTAAAAGATGACACTGTTAAGGTGCTACATTCAGTATGCCAGCAAGTTTGGAAAACTCAACAGTGGCCAGAGGACTGGAAAAGATCAGTCTACATCCCAATCACAAAGAGAAGCAGGGCCAAAGAATGCTCCAACTACCGTACAATTGCACTCATTTCACACGCTAGCAAGGTTATGCTCAAAATCCTACAAGGTAGGCTTCAGCAATATGTGGACCAAGAACTCCCAGAAGTACAAGCTGGATTTCGAAGGGGCAGAGGTACTCGAGACCAAATTGCAAACATGCGCTGGGTTATCGAGAAAGCCAGAGAGTTCCAGAAAAACATCTGCTTCATTGACTATGCAAAAGCCTTTGACTGTGTGGACCACAGCAAAATTTGGCAAGTCCTTAAAGAAATGGGAGTGCCTGACCACCTTGTCTATCTCCTGAGAAATCTGTATGTAGGACAGGAAGCAACAGTTAGAACTGGATATGGAACAATGGATTGGTTCAAAATTGGGAAAGGAGTACGACAAGGCTGTATAGTGTCCCCCGGCTTATTTAACTTATATGCAGAATACATTATGCAAAAGTGGGTGCCAGCAAACCTTTTCAATTCTGGGATAAGTTGCAGAGTTCTTGGCCAATGGAGGATATTGGCCCATTTAAACAAGCTGTCAAGACTCTTGGTTTTTTCAAATAAGCCTTTTGTAACTCTGGGGTTCTCATATTTCCATTTCTCTTTTTCAATGCTTTCATGGTTTAAGCTGTTCTGATGGACCAAATTAAGTGTTCGCCCTGTTTAAAGCACACACATCAAAACAAACAAGGTTTAGGGTAGTGGGTTTGCTTTAACTGGGCTAATAGCAGATTTGGACCACTAGTTATTGTTGGTTTAATTCCATTAGTCATTTTATTTTGACAAGCGAATAGACAAGTGGAATGTCAGACCAAGGCTTGGGAGACATGTTCAAACCCTGCCCAGCCATAGGAATTCATTGGAAGGTGACAGTGGCAACATCTCGCATACTTCGAAAACCTTATTGCGGTCACCATAAGCGACTTAACAGCATGTAACAAGAGCAATTTTTACTTCATTACTGCAATTGACAGTTGCAGAAAAAAAACCCTGCCCAATCAATAAAAGCCAACAAATAGATACCGTTTTCCCGAAAATAAGACCTAACCTGAAAATAAGACCTAGTATGATTTTTCAGGATGCTCAAAATATAAGCCCTACCCTAAAAATAAGCCCCAGTTAAGTGAAAGCCCACCTTCCACCATTGTGCAGCAACTATTGGAAGATGACATGACCATATTTGAATAAATGTAGATTGTTGTACATGAAAAAATAAAACATCCCCTGAAAATAAGCCCTAATGCATTTTTGGAGCAAAAATTAATATAAGACCCTGTCTTATTTTCAGGGAAACAAAATATATATAATTTCTTCTTCTTTCTCTGCAGACACTTAGCTGGCGAGGTGGCCAAGGAGTGGCAGGAAATTGATGAGGCAGACAAGACTCAGAAGGACACCCTGCTGACGCTGGTGAAGGAGATTGTGCCGTACAACATGGCCCACAACGCTGAGCACGAAGCCTGTGACTTGCTGATGGAGATCGAGCAAATGGACATGCTGGAGGAGTATATCGATGACAATGCCTACGCCAAAGTCTGCCTCTACCTGACCAGGTGGGTGACCCTTTAGTCACGGGTGGGTGAAATGCGCCAGGAAGAGGTCAATCACGATTCAGACTGTGGTGTTGCAGGGGGTGGCGGTGGAATTAAAGGTACTTTGAGCTCTAGTGTTGACTAGGGTAACACACATCAGCACTGAACACACATTGTTGCTTCTGTCCAGAAGCAAGTTGCTCCCCTGGATCCAATCCGCAGAGATGGATCTTTTACAGATTGGAAGCTTTGAGGAGTTCTTTCTGCTTTGATACTGCCATGGGGTGATGATGGCATTGATTAGGTTTGGCTGGGTGGTGGAAAGGTTTCCCTCCTCGACTCTGCCATCCTGAGTGAAAGGCACTCTTTGCTCCCAGCCTGGTGACCAGCCTCATTTCACCACCTTCCCTTTTTCTCTCTCCCTTCTCCGAAGTTGCGTGAGCTACGTCCCGGAGCCCGAAAACTCGGCCCTCCTCCGCTGTGCTCTCAGCATCTTCCGCAAGTTCAACCGCTACCCGGAAGCCCTGCGCCTGGCGCTCATGCTGAATGACATGGAACTGGCTGAGAACATCTTCATCTCCTGCAAAGACGTGTATGTCGCTCTCTAGCGTAGGGCTGGCTCCTGGTCATTGGGGTCGCCCAGACGGGGAAAGCTGCTCAGGAGCTGGTTTGGCCAGAGGATGGGTTGGCATTTTCTGTTCCTGCTCCTCTCTAGTCAGGGGTGGCAGGAAAGATCTCAGGGCTTGACGTCTGCTTGATCTTTGCTCCATCACTGGTGCTGGCCACCACTTCCAGACTGGAGAGCAGAGAGAAGGGACGTTATCTAGTAATGAAAGACACAGACAAAGAGATCTTAAACCAGAACTGGGTATATCCGGGTTCAGAATTTGGCAGCTCCCTGAAGCTTTCTCAGTGACTCTGGGCCAGTCCCATCTCTCAGGCTAACCTACCTCACAGTTTTCATAGAAAAATGAAATGTGTCATCCTGCAGCCCTGGGACCAAAGTGTGGCCTAGAAATGAATTAGCAAAATGGGTAGATAAAAAGGAAGGGATTAGAATAGCACCATAGAAGATAGCTTGACATTTATCACTGGGCCATTGGCTAATTTCTAGTGGACGTTCGAGTGACACCTGGTTGTCAAGGATTCCAGATTAAGTGGCTCCAGATCTGATCGAAAGGCATGTTTAATACACTTAGAAAAATAATAATTTTTCCTCATCTAGTGAGATCCTCACGCTTTGAAAACTTAAAAATGCATAGGTGCACAGTGGGAAAATTAGATTTTAGAATGGCAAATTATTGCTGTTAACTACACTGGATGCTTCTTGCCAGAGTTGTGTGTTGTTTCTCTTTAAAATAAATCAAATGTCAAGTAAAAATTAGTTTCTATCTTGTATATATTTTCTGTATGAACTGCGTCTGCTTAGTTTACATCATTTTTCAACAGTTTGGAAAGTGTTTAACTCCTTGAGAAGTTCAGAATGTGTGTGTGCATGTGTGCTTGAGTGCACTTTCCATTTAAAAAAATCATGCCACGCCAGTCACTCAGCCATTTGTTCATTCAGATACTTCCCTCCCTCAGCTCTTCTCTGTAAAAACAGGGCAGTTTTCAATAACTGAGGACTCAGTGTTTAAAAATACAGAAGAATACATGAGAATTAAAACACTGGCAGAAAAAGTAAATGTGAGATGATGATTAATTTCTATGGGAAATTAAACTCTTGCTTAAGCAATTCTTCTTGCCCTTAAAGGTCAGGGTATAGTAAACAATGGCATCTTTCAAGGATGTTTTTTATAAATACATTGGACGTTTGCCCTGGTCTGTTTTCAAATATTCTTTTATGCAGAAATTGTGGTGTCTTTGGTTTGCTAAGCGCTTGCTCTACCCACCAGTCAGTCACTTTTCTGGCGGCTGAAGGGATGATTTATGTCAACCTTGTTACCAAGCTCAGTGTGGCATTGCATGCTCAGTTCCTAGTCTGAGGCTAAATCCTCAGGGAAAGACTCGTCGAAATCAATGGGGCCCAGGTTAGTTGCAGTTACGAAATAGAACTAGCTCTGTCCCATGGTAGGACTACTATTGAATGAAGCTCATGAGTGTCTCTGTGTTGTCGTCTGCTCCTTTTTTCAGGGTTGTCCAAAAGCAAATGGCCTTCATGCTGGGTCGTCATGGTGTATTCCTGGAGCTGAGTGAAGATGTCGAAGAGTACGAGGACCTCACAGAAATCATGTCTAACGTCCAGCTGAATAGCAACTTTCTGGCCCTGGCCAGAGAGGTGAGCTCCCTGCTGATTGCTCTGAATTCATACTAGCAGGGAAGTGTGACCACGGGACCGTGAGGCGTATGAGAAGGCAGCTAGAATGGTGTGTGTGTGTGTGGGGGGGACTGCTGATTTGAAAGGCCAACTGTGATGTAGATCTTTGGCTTATCCTTTTCACGGCCATCTGCTTTAATTTAAGAAAACAAGGGAACCTGATAAAACTTTGATTGGCATTGCTTTTGTCTGCCACAACTTTTGAAGTATCACATTTTCCAAAAACACACACCACAATTTGCCTGTCAGGACTGGTGGCATCTGTGTGAATAGTAAAGAAAGAATCTGAAAATTGCATTACAGCATAAAGGCTACAAGCCATTGAATTTTCAAGCTTTATTTTGGTGTTCAGCTTACTCTGTTTCCACCTTAGGATTGTTTGGTAGTCTCCAGATAACAGTCTACTATCAAACTTTCTGTTGGTTTATTATTATGAGCCGCAATGTTGAGTGGTAGGGAACATAGCCGTGAATGGCCTGCCTTCTTAGAGTAGGGGGCAAGGAAACACTGCCCACGGGCCACGTCCGTCTTCATCACTTGGGCAGTTCTTTCTGTGGTAGGGTTGAGGGGGTGGTCCGCCGTGGCCGTACAGGTGGCAAAATCAGACTCCCTGTCTCGTGAAGTTGGCCACCTCTTTTTAGAAGAAGCACTCCTCAGATGTCTTTCTGCAAACATGGGGGTTTGAATTTGAGCTGAACATTGCCGTGATGTCCCCAGGGGAAGACATGCAAGACCAGCAGGTTGTTTGTCCTGCAGGGAGCTTGGGTTTAGAGTGTTGATACCTTGGGAGATCGAGCAGAGGTCCACTCATGTGATTTGGGGGGTGTCAAAGGGGCTCACCTGGAGCAGGTGTGCTAAAGAGGGTCACCTCTTCCTTGTGTACCCTGCCCTAGTCCTTGCCTCCCAGTCAGTAGGAACGAGGTGAATTCTCTCCTTAACAAAGGAGAGGGCACTGCCCGCCAGGGGAAGCCTTGGTAGGATGCCACATGGTTCAGAAGGCAGGAAAGAGTCACCTCTTCTTTTGTTTCCAGCTGGACATCATGGAGCCCAAGGTGCCGGATGATATTTATAAAACCCATCTGGAAAACAACCGTAAGTGTGCCAAGCAGTGGGGTTTCAGGGTGCTGGCTTTGGGTTCATAGAAATATGTTGGTTTATAGCATTTGTTCCCTGACTTTTCTCCCAAAAAGCTTTGCTTCTTCTTATCAGAAGATCTAGGCAGTAAAACAGTCCACATCCACAAGCTTACAGTGTAAAATTTAAAGGCTTAACCCTCAATGGCTCAAGGGGGCGTTTCTTTCAAAAAGGTTAAGAACCACTGGTTTATAGCATTTGTGCCCTGACTTTTCTCCAAAAAAGCTTTGCTTCTTCTTATCAGACGATCTATGCAGTAAAACAGTCCACATCCACAAGCTTACAGTGTAAAATTTAAAGGCTTAACACAGAAGGAATAAGGAAGATGGAGAGAGGAGGGAAAGTATCTAGGAACTGTAATTGGTGGGTGCCCCTCTCTGCTGGTTTGTGCTGGGCATAAACTTGCAGGGAAAACAAACACTTATTTTGGATACTTTGACTTAAAATGCCTTTATCTAAAATGGACCCACTCCCACAAGTCATTTATGCACACGTGTATTTGTGTTCTGCTCTCTCATCTCCCCCATATCATGTTTTGGAAAGCATTTTCTTCCTGTGGAATGGGAAACATAATCAGTTGGATTGCTGAGGGATACATCTTTGAAAGTCTGAAAGAAAGGTGTTTAACATTTGGATGGTGGATCACAAATCTTCTTTGGGTTTATAGCTACCTGACACATTTTTCAGAGGAAATGGTTATGCAGGCAGATGGGCTGCACTACATTTTAAAGTGAAGCTTTCTATCCAAAGCTATGTTTTGAAGCCCTTAGTCCTGCCCCCTGGTCAACATGTGGTGTTTCCTCTGTGCCATTTTGGGGGGGGGGGTCCTGCAGGTTGTAACACCCTCAGGGCAGCTATATTTGGTCCTACCAACTTTTCAGCCAGGATTTTTTTTTTGAACAAGAGAAAAAAATGAGCATGTCTTCATACTATTATGTGAAATCTCAGCTGTATTTTTCAAGCATCCCAAAACACGTAGAAGTATATAGCTGCAGGGCCTTTATAGTCACATTTATATGCTGCCTTTCTATAGAGCTGGCAAACAGATAGTTTTTCTTCTGCTTTATTTTGGTTTGGGTGTTTTTTTTGGATGATGGCTTCCTGAACCCACGAGCTTCTACCCACTCAAATCAGTACATACTCAGACCCCTTAAATGCACACCAAAACTGATTAGACTTGATCAGTGTTTGTCTAAACTGGACACAGTATTTGAACAGAATGGGGGGGGGGAGAAGAAACCTCTGGGGTTCTGGCCCCCGGTGGAAAGTCTAGAAGAGGTTAAAAAGAGCAAGAACAGAGGGGCCAGGGCGAGAGCACTCACCGCATGTCACATATATATGTGTCAATAACAATTGGCTAAAGCTTAAGTAGCCACGGACGTGGTGGCGCTGCAGGTTAAACTGCAGAAGCCTCTGTACTGCGAGGTCAGAAGACCAGATGTCGTAGGATCGAATCCACGCGATGGAGGGAGCTCCCGTCGCTTGTCCCAGCTCCTGCCAACCTAGCGGTTCAAAAGCATGTAAAAATGCGAGTAGATAAATAGGTACCACCTCGGTGGGAAGGTTACAGCGTTCCATGTCTAGTTGCGCCAGCCACGTGACCACAGAAATGGTCTACAGACAAACGCTGACTCTACGGCTTGGAAAGGGGATGAGCACCGTGCCCTAGAGTCGGACACAGCTGGACTAAATGTCAAGGGGAACCTTTACCTAAGTAGCCGCAGTTTCCTTTCAAACGTTCAGATAGTGTGGTTGTCTAGATCCGTCGTTCTTAACCTTTGTTACTCGGATGTTTTTGAAATGCAACTCCCAGAAACCCCAGCCAGCACAGTTGGTGGTGAAGGCTTCTGGGAGTCCTTTACCTAAGTAGCCGCAGTTTCCTTTCCAACGTTCAGATAGTGTGGTTGTCTAGATGGCTGCTGGCCAAAGTAACCCAAGGTTAAGAACCTGTGGTCTAGATGGCTGCTGGCCGGTTTTGGCAGACAGCCTTTCTGAAAAATGGGTTCTTTTTCTTTGGCTGCTCCCAAGACTATCTCTTTGGATGAAGCCGAGAAATGTGAACGGCTCACTTAGATGAGGGGGGGAATGCAGGAATTATTCTAGTCAGGAGCCAGAAGCTCCCAGCGGTGCATCATCACCGATGGCTCATCCTTCCTCTTTCTGTCCCCGGCCGCTGCAGGATTTGGTGGCAGCGGCTCTCAGGTGGATTCTGCCCGAATGAACCTGGCCTCGTCTTTTGTGAACGGTTTTGTGAACGCCGCTTTTGGGCAGGACAAGCTGCTGACGGACGACGGGAACAAGTGGCTGTACAAGAACAAGGACCATGGTGAGAAGGGAGGAGGGAGGCGGCGGCAGCTGGTTTCCTTGGCATTGAGGGACGATTGGGAGGCGTTCCATTCTTGGACTACAACTCCCAGAATCCTCCAGCCGGCATGGCCGAATGGCTATACCGAAGAGGGGGAATCCCTGACTTTGTAGGCCAAGGAAAGAAAAATGTGAACTGAAAATAAGAGAAAAGATGTCTTTTCAGGTTCAGATTGCAAGGGGGAGATTAAGGGGGAGCACCTTTGCCCCTCGCCGAGACTTTTCCTTTCCATCATCTTCTGTGGTAAAAGAAGGCCAGGGATGTGTTGGCAGGTTTTTGGGTCTGAGTCCCAAGTCCACGTCTGTGTCTTCGGTCCCAAGGCCCAGGTCCGAGTCTCTATTCAAAACAAGCCCCCCCCCCCCAAATAGGGGTTTGGGTTGGTTCTGAGTTGCTAACCACGTCCAAGTCATCAGGAAAAATAACAAACCCACATCGGGTGTGATTTGAGTCACTGATGCGAATTAAGTCTGACTTGACAGCGAGTCCTGGAACTCAAATCCCTGAAGATGGCTGAATGACACACTTGACAGGTGATTTTTTTTGGGGAGGGATAGAATATGTTTTCCAGGGGGGCTGCCTTCCAGACAACGGGGTTTATCACTGAGGTAAAATGCAGCCGTGAACATGTGGAACAGCCATCCCCGGAGGCTGCGCAGAAGCTGCTGGGGTAATATAAGTTTTTTTTGTTGCTGCTCCGGAGCAGGGAGCTCTCCCCAAAGGGCCCCTGGAGCCACCCAGCGGTAGCAGTCCTGGCAATGACGCAGAGTGCAGAAGGTCAGCTGACAGAGCAAGGGGCTGGTGGACCTTCAAGGCTGAAACAGAGGGCCCCGATTGATTGTCTCCTGGAAGCAACACGCTGTTGATCTGGGCAGTGTAGCGAGCAAGCAGGACGGAAGGAGAGGATTGGCGCTGTCTGTCAGTCAGTACAGGAGGATGGTTGCGGATGCTTCCTCTGCCCTGGGTTTTAGGGGGTCTTGCTGGCAGCAGTGGAGTGGGGTGGGGTGGGGGGAAAGACCAGCCTATTGCCCTGCATGGTAAGAGAAACAGGTCTCTGACTGGCTTTGGCCACGTTTGCCAGTCTTGCGTATGAAGAAGTGTGAGAGAGGGAGAAGTGAAAAGGCAGTCCAATATAAATGGCAGTCTGTCTGGGGTCCCTGGTTGATGCCGTGCGCTGGCACCGCCTTGGGAGCAAAGCAGCGCTCTTAGCAGCCCCTGCCCCACCCAACTGTGTCGGTAGCTCACAACCAGGTGGTTTGTTGCTGGCACTTCGTGGTTCCCTTTCTTGCTGGCTCTTTTTCGTTCTAAGAGCCCCATTGATTGGACTCTTTGATCCCCTTTATGGGACGAGGCCACTGTAGCAGAACCTCCTGCCATCTTGTCACTTGTGGTGAGCCTCTCCCGTGGCAGCTGTTCTGTGTCTCGTCCTCATCGTGGTAGACATTATGTAACGGCCATCGTGACAGTTTGCCTGCTATATAGTGGCAGTTCAAGGACACCACCTCTCCATGTGTTTCTCCCACTTCCTGCTTCCGAGCTTTCTGCAGTCCTTATGTTGGGAATAAGACAGAGCAAAAGCAGCGCCATTTCCCTCCCTGTCCAGGGGTTAGTTCTTTTGCTTCACTTCTCTGTCCTATACTGTTAATTTTAAAACGGTGTGACTTGATAGTGAGGCTGGCTAGCTTTGCACAAGTAGTCTGAGTTTAACTCATCGTAACAGACACCTGATTACTGCATCATCCGTGTGAGAAGTTTTCTTGCAAAAAGAATTTTGGCTTGTAACATGAACCCGGTCTTTTTACCCGCAACCCTCTCTGACTTTTCATTAGAGGATTGAAATGTGGGTTCTCGTATTTCTGTGCTGGTGGTGAGTGCTGCATCCATCAGTCCGTCCTGGGCTAAGCCACTAAAACAAACTGATAAGTTGACAGCATAGATTCTCCCAGTGGAGCCATTGTTGATGCAGTGGCTGTTTTTGTTACATGGTCTGTCCAGATGACCTGGAAGTATGAATACATACAAGCAGTAGCATCCCTGAGGATTCCAACCTGGTGGGAAATTTTTCAATAGTCTTGGGGAAAAAAACAACCACCACCACCAAGGTATATTACAGGGTTGATGAAATCAGCATCACGGAGAAGCTTGTAAACGCTCAGTCAGCAGTGTACTACTATATCAAAATGAAGTTTGTGAATTACTAGAATTGCTGGGCAGTTTTGAAGATATTGGATTGTACTTTCCTCTACAGTATATATTTGATTTTAGATTTTTAGTTTTGTATTCTCTTCCATTTAAAAGAACCAATCTAAAATGTTTCCCAATGGAAGAGAGAGAAGTTTCCCTGCCATTTTCTTGAGGTTCAGCATCGGATTAACATCAGCCATGTGTCACTCAGGGATAAGTTTGAAATGAACGGGGTGTTCTCTGAGCATGATTTCTTAAGCAGGCTTTTTGTCCTACAGGGATGTTGAGTGCTGCTGCTTCCCTGGGGATGATCCTATTATGGGATGTAGATGGCGGGCTTACACAGATTGACAAGTATCTGTACTCTTCAGAAGACTACATTAAGGTAGGTGGGCCCCTCCTGGCCAGCACTGGAAAAAAATATTAATGTTTGGACTATAACTCCCAAAGTCTGACCCCCAAGCACAGACCGATCCCTTGCTGGCTGGGGGCTCTGTAAATGTTGTCATAAAATTAACTTTTCTGAGCTCTTGCTGCTAGTCTGAGCTTTGTTTTGTAGGGTATTTGGCCATAGTCAGCAGGCTCTTAGGAATTTTTTTTTTAGGGGGGCTAGCAATCCCTTGAGTCAGACCATTGATTCTCCTAGTGGTGCTGATCCATTGTTTAATGGTGGCTGTCTGGGATTTCATACAGCAATTGTTCCCCGTCCTCCTAGGGGCTGGAAAGAGGAAGACATCAAGCTTCTAAGTGTAAAATGTCTCCTTCATCATGGAGGAGGTTTATGGAACAGGCTGGGCTGTACCTGTTGTCCCTGAAACATGCTCACCTAAGAGCCCATCCATAGAGTGTTAAGCCAGTAAACGTGCTTCCCAGTGTCTCTATGCCCTGCTGCTTTGGCAGTGCCACCTTGTTACAGTGGCTTAAGTTAAGTGATGGATATAAACAGTGGGACGTGATGGCGCTGCGGGTTAAACAGCAGAAGCTTCTGTGCTGCAAGGTCAGCAATTGTAAGATCGAATCCACGGGACAGAAGGAGCTCCTGTCGCTTGTCCCAGCTCCTGCCAACCTAGCA